TTTTTGTGATGCAGTTATGGCATCAATACCAATATACCATTGCTGACTTGCTGTTAAGTGTTATTGTATTAACTGTTAAGTAGTTTTTTGAGATGCACTTTACTGTGATGCAGTTTACTGTTAAGTGTTATTGTGTTAAGTAGTTTTTTTTTATTTTTTTGTGATGTCTTCTTATATTTCTGATAGATGGAGGGCTCTAATACCGTTGCTGATGATGTTTTTATTAATGAAATTGAAGAAGTTGGGCCATCTATAAATGTGGTAGAGTTAGAGCCTTGTAACATTGAAAGTAATGAAGGAGGAGGTGAAGTTGCTAATGTTAGGAAGCGGAGAAGAATGACATCTGTTGTTTGGGGTTACTATGAGATGTTGCCTAAGCCAAAAGATGGTAAGCAAAGGTGTAAATGCAAGAAATGTGGTGTGACATATTTCTGTGATAGCAAAAATGGCACTGCAAATCTAAGAAGACACTTGGAAAATTGTAAATGATGGAAACTATAGAATTGATTTTATTTCAGGTCATTGCAGATTTGAAGCTAGTATTTCGAGGAGACGACTCAGACGAGGGGAGCAATTTGGATGTTCAAATATTGGAAATCTTTAAAATTGAATTGAGTTTGTAATTTGGTAACTAAAACAAATGTGTAAATGATGTTTGTAATTCGAGTATTGGATAATTTGTAAATTATTATTTCTCTAAATGTATAATTGCTGCTTTGCAGTTTTTCACTTTTTTGTTTGCACTTTACCTTTTTTTTTCCTGAAATTAGAATTAAAATTACTGTATAAACGGATAACCGGGTCGGGTCGGGTTGACCCGAACCCGAGACGGGTCGGTTCCGGGTTTCGAAAACCGACCCGTTTATAAACCCGGGTCGGGTTGACCCGAACCCGAATAAATCCGGGTCAGTTACGGGTCGGGTCGGGTTCGACCCGTAACCCGAAATTGACAGGTCTAGATCCAGTTTTCAAAACAATGGAATTTACGTCATAAATATTTGATAAATTATATCTCGATTAGCTATGACATTTAGGGGCTATTTGATTAGAAGTAAAATTAATGTAAAGTAAAGTAAATTCAGAAGTTTTAAGAAGTTTAGTACTTGGTTGATGAAAAAAAATTGTTGAGAAGGTTGTTGTAAAGTAAAAGTTGTCGTCCGGTCGCCCACCATTAGCAGCCACTGCCAACCCACATAGGTTGTCGCCATCGGCCGCCAACCGCCACCATCGCTGGCCACACCACCACAGTTTCCCTCCAACGATTCTCTATCGGCCACAGCCTACCACTCCGATCACAACTTTTTTATATTTTACATTGAATTTATTTTTGTTCAAATCAAATAAAAAATAAAGTCATACATTCTTTTTGCACTTTTCTAAACAACTTCAAAAATATTCAATTTATATCACATTCTTTTTATATTATATTATTCTTTTAGGCAATAAAATAATCCCTATAAGCTGGCAAAGTCATACGAAATTCATACTTGACTGGTCAATCAAAAGTATTAGCTTATAAAAAACTTTTATTTTATTTTATTAGAACTTTCATCTAATCATCATTTACAGCTTCGGTAGGTTTTCAACGGTCCTATTATTAATTACGTCAATCCTTTCATTATTCTTATACCGTTAGTTATAACCATTTGACGGAGTAGACGAAATATTATTGCAGTTGTTGGATGACGTCATTTTTGAACTGCAAAAAATTTGTATTAGGTAAAAATAAAATTTTGATTTTAAAGTAATTAAATTTAGATAATACAAATTATTTATATGTTATATCTATTTTAAAATTAATTTAAATTTTTTTAAACTATCTTAATTAAAATTTGATGAAATTTAATCGGGAAACGCTGGCGTAGGTGGTAGCTTTTTTCATTTTAAATATGAGGAAAGGAGAATCTCTTAGTCCACATCATCGCGAGTAATAAATTATCAAATTTATTGTAATTATCATATTCGAAAAATGATTGAGGCATCAAAATTATTAAAGTTTTATATCATGATGACAATGTAATGTAAATACAATAATATACATTTTTAAAAGTGGGCTCAAATTGTGTACTCTGATTTCAATAAAATTATAGCCAAATTGTTATTTTGATTAAGTCTAACCAGTCAGCACACAGAGTGATCAAATTCAGATTCATATGAGTTCAGATTAAATACTTGAAATATAATTAAAATTTATAAGACATTAATTTGGAGATAAATAAATTTCTAAATCTGGCATGCTTACAGAGAAATCAAGCACCCAATGACATGAATCCAACAAGATCAATATCATTTGATTTTAATATCATTAAGGCGCATAAAACATGAAATATGATCAAAAGAATCTATAGAGGTCACTTGATAAAATGCTTCAAATTTTAGCTATATTTATAGATAATGTCATTCTCAAATATTATAAATAGACACCAACTATGTACATGTAGTAGGGCTACTATAATCGAGCAACGATAAACAACTACAGTCAAACAACTGTCCTCTAACCATCATTATTCAACTATAGGCCTACGACCATCACTCAATTATCTTGGGTCCTATGATCATTATCGTCCAACTATAGTCGTCTGATCATTGTTGTCCAACTATGACCCCCTCTGAATACCTTTACTTGACTAAAATCCTCCAATGATCATTGCCAACTAAAAAACCTCCATTATCACTATAATACAATGAATAATGAATACTTGCTAGCCCATATGGTCTACTACACTTAGTTAGACCTATTGTTCAAGACAAACAATCTAATTATGATGTTTTTATTATTATTATTATTATTTTTTTTTTAAGGTTAAGGAGTCAATTTCGATAGTAAAATAGTCCAATAAAGCATCTACATTAAAATTTAAATAATTTTGACAAGTTAGGAGAAATATTTTTAAGTGATTTTCTTTCTCCAATTGATATGCTATCTTTAAGGATGGCTAAAATTGCATTTCAGGAGACTTTACTAGGTTAACATCCCCAATGATAGGTCCACATTAATATCCAAGAAGCGATTTTGCCTCAAGTTTTTTTCAAAATTATAATTTTATATTGTGTATAAAAAAATAGATATATATTTTGGATAATGTAGACTCATCCCAAAAGAGGATGACAATTGCTACATTATCAAAAATTGACTAAATCAAACTCGAATCTTGATTCATGTATGACTTATAAACTTTTGAACTCAATTTGAGGGCCAATCTGTAATATCAAAAATCTGCTCCAGGATCGTACAGGACGATCTGGATCGTCTTGGGACGATCAGTGGAAAGTTTGCTCCAGAATGTGCCCAGATTTGCTCCAGGTGATTTTCTGTACATATCGTCCAGGCCGATTTGGACATCGTCCAGGCCGATCGGCACTGTAGAAAATATCGGCCTGAG